TTATTTGATGTTTTGGGCTGAAAGCTGGTTGGCTGAGCTAGACTGGTCCTTTCTTTTTCACTTTTCTGTCTGAAAAAGTCAATGTGTAGATGTGACACAGGCCAAAATATATCAAACGCTTGTGAGAAGTAGTGGCCATACCTGCATGTGAAAATCTGACCTCTGAAGCTAAGCAGTGCAGGGCTTAGTTAGTGACGTGATGGGAGACCTCTGGGAACAACAGGCGCCACAGTGGGGCGGCTGTAAAGTGCCAAACTGTTGTTGTGTCCTTAGGCAAGGCACTTCCCCCACATTGCCTAGAATGAGTCTGTGTGTGTATACTGTATAATGATATGAGCCGCGCTATATAAAATACATTAAAACTAAACTGTTTTGAAAAATACTTACGTTACAGTCTATTTTTGTGGTTGAAAAGTTAGGCAGACAAGCTATAAGCAGTGAATATAAATGGTCCATATTTGCATGCTGGCTCTGAAGTTTCTATATCCCCCTCCTCACAACCCCATGTCATTAGCAGACCTCCAGAGTGGCTACAGCGTGTGGTGTTTGTTTTGGCTTTGATATGATGACCAGGAGCAGCTGTCTCGCTCGTGTCAGACTTGGTAACAGCTGCAAAGTGACGGCCATTTACACTCAAATATGTGTATTTTTCTCCCTGTTAAAAGGCATACCCAAAGCCACACGGCGTACACGTGAAGATATCATTCATCTTTATCGATGCTTTTTTGTAAATCTGTTCTAGAAGATGGCAGTCCAATGATTGCTACTGAAAAGGCTCCTAAATTTTAACGTTTATCGGCCGTTGATAGCATTTTGGTAAGTCCACATTGATTAATTGTGTCAATAAATCCCAACGTTTCTCATAAAAGGAAAAATAAATGGCAAATGGATTTTTGTCATTTGCCTTTCCCCTGCTGTGTTACACATGTGGCGGGAATGAAAATAAAACCCATTCTTAACATATTGCTGGGAACATTTCTCAAGCACAAAGATGAACATTTCAGCCATCAATTCAACTTTGGTTGGCTGGGCCGTGGTGACCTTGGCTGAATGGTGGCTTCATTGGGAGGTATATAGCGACAGGATTTCAGTCAGTGCAGGCAGAGGGAGCAGTAAAACTTTTATTCCTCCCTCTGTGACTCTACGAGCTAATGATTCATGGATCTTAGCATAGGGAGGAAGGGGGAGAGGTGTGAGAGATGGTGAGAGTGGGCCACGGTGCTGTGCAGGACCAGAACTCAATGAGCTTTGAAAACAGTTGTCACACATCAATAGGCAGGTGGCTGGCGTCATGTAACTCAATTCTAGTGACTTCTCATCATAAAGTCTGCCGTTTGAGAAGCTTTAGTTTCAGGGTCTTATGAAATATTCCACATGTGAATATTTCTTATATTATCAACATGGTAAAAAGATGTATATAACGCCATGTTGTTCAGTGCTCCCCGAGGGGGGCGTGACTGTTTACATCCGAGGCTTCTCGGCCCCCACCACCACCCCCCTCCTCCTCCTTACCAGCACCGGGTGAGTACTGTGGTGCAAACACTGACCCCTGTCAGTCTGGCAGTGTAACGACAGTCCTGCCACTGAACTGTGCTGACTCAGTTATGCATCTGGAACTTAACAAAGTACAACAGAGTTCACTTTTTAAACCAATAGAGACTGTGTGTGTTTCTCGCACCAGCTCAGAAATGTGTTTTAACTTGAATAAACACAAATTTAAAAGAAGGACAGCAGTTAGACGGTCCAACTCTGGAAATCTAATTCCAGTTCTTTGTAATCAATCAACTAAACCCACTGACACTGATATTAATTTTAACCTTGCTCTACTTAATGTCAGATCACTATGCAACAAATCATTTTTAATTAATAATTTTATCTGTTCGTATGATCTTGATTTTATGTTTATGACTGAAACATGGCTTGACCATAATACAGGAGATGCAGTTTTAATAGAAGCCTCACCACCAAATTTCAAATTTGAACATGAAACACGAGAAAATAAAAGGGGGGGGGGGGCATAGCAGCAGTTTTTAAAGATCGTATTGTCTCCCATAGAGTGTCTCTTGGGAAATTTTCATCATTTGAGTATGTTTCTTTTAAAATAGAACAAAAGAAATCTTCTTCCATTCTTATTATTGTTGTGTACAAGCCGCCACAGTCATGCCATAGTTTCACTGATCATTTCACTGAGTTGCTTTCAGTTGTGTGCACAGATTTTGATGGTTTGGTCATTGTAGGTGATTTCAATATACATGTAGATAATGCTAATGATAGATATGCAATAGAGCTGAGCTCTGTGCTGGAAACCTTTGGTCTCACTCAGCATGTGAGTGGCCCCACCCACAGCAGAGGACACACTCTCGATCTGTTAATTACCAAGGGGGTTAATATTTCAAATGTAAATGTGGTCAATGTTGCTCTGTCTGATCATTTCTGTGTATTTTTTGACATGTGTCTTGATTGTAAACCACCAGCTGAATCTTCGGTTGTTAGAAGAAGACACATAAATGATAATACAGGCGAACTGTTCATGGGGGGGTAAACTTTGAGAACACGTTGTGTGTTACTGTAGATGAATTACTTGATTCTGTCACCACCACTGTTTTGAATGTTCTGGATACAATTGCTCCTGTAAAGGTTAAAATAGTTACAAACAAGCAAAAAGCGCCATGGACTAAAGCAGACTCGGTCAGGGCACAGAAGAGAGAGTGCCGGAAGGCCGAGCAGAAGTGGCGAAAGTCAAATCTCAAAGTTGACCATGAGATCTTCAAAGATGCGTTGTGCAATTTTAACAGGGAACTACGTAGAACGAGGGAAATGTACTTTTCTGAAACTATTGAAGGCTGTAGCAACAATCTACGTGTTCTGTTTTCAACAGTAAATAGATTGACGAATCCCCCTGTTAAGATGCCATCAGAACTTACTTCCAAATCTAAATGTAATGAGTTTGCTCAGTTCTTTAATGACAAAGTCCAAGGTATCAAAAACGCCATCACCTCCACGATAGAAATAATAATCCAACCGCCAGTGAGGCTTTTTGGGCTGACGCACTTTACACCAGTACAAATTGAAACTGTCCAGGAGATAATCACTAGTCTGAGTTCCTCCACATGCAGCCTGGATGTATTACCTCCTAGATTTCTCAAGTCAGTTCTGAGCAGTCTTTTACCTTCACTTACACAAATAGTTAATATGTCTCTTGAATCTGGAACATTCCCAATGGCCTTGAAAACGGCGGTCATCAGGCCCCTCCTAAAAAAGAGGAGTCTGGAAGCCCTGGCACTTAAAAATTATCGGCCCATTTCAAATCTGCCTTTCATGGGAAAAATTCTAGAAAAAGTTGCCTATAAACAACTTACAGAATTTTTAATAATCAATAACGCTTATGATATGTTCCAGTCAGGGTTTAGACCCCACCACAGCACTGAGACCGCGCTAATAAAGGTAACAAATGACATCAAACTAAACACTGACGCAGGAAAAGTCTCAGTCCTTTTTCTGTTAGATTTAAGTGCTGCTTTTGACACTATTGATCATGGCATCCTCATTCAGAGACTTGAGGACTGGGTTGGTGTTGCTGGCACCGCCCTAAGCTGGTTTAGGTCCTATTTACAAGACAGAAAGTTTTTTGTGGAGATCGAAAACTGTACCTCAGACCACTTGGCCCTGACCTGCGGAGTGCCACAGGGGTCAATCCTGGGTCCTCTTCTGTTTAATATTTACATGTTGCCTCTAGGTCAGTTGATTCACAGTAATAATGTCTCTTATCACAATTACGCTGACGATACTCAGGTCTATGTGTCCCTGACAGCAGGAGAGCATGAACCAGTGGACTCGCTCCTTCACTGTGTCCAGCAAATCGGTGATTGGATGCAAAATAACTTTCTCCAACTAAACACCGACAAAACTGAAATAATTGTTTTCGGACCCCAGAAACAAAGAGAGAGCGTTATTTGTCACCTCCAGGCTCTCTCTCTACAACCCTCAAATCAGGTCAGAAATCTAGGAGTGATAATGGACTCAGACTTAAATTTCAAAAGCCACATAAAATCTGTAACATCAGCAGCTTATTACCACCTAAAAACATTGCTAAAATTAAAAACATAGTGTCTAAGGCAGACTTGGAGACTCTTATACACGCTTTTGTCTCCAGTCGGTTAGACTATTGCAATGGCCTGCTCACAGGTCTGTCCAAACAGGCTGTAAAACAGCTGCAGTACATTCAACATGCAGCAGCTCGAGTCCTGACCAGAACTAGGAAGTACGACCACATTAGTCCAGTTCTCAGGTCTCTGCACTGGCTTCCTGTTCCTCAGAGAATAGACTTCAAAGCAGCTTTACTTGTGTACAAGTCTCTCCATGGTCTCGCGCCAAGGTACATCCATGACATGTTTGTGCCATATGAACCGACCCGGACTCTGAGGAGCACAGGGACTGGACTCCTGTTAGTGCCCAGAGTCGGTACTAGACATGGGCAAACTGCTTTTCAGATTCATGCGGCTAGAGTCTGGAACAGTCTTCCTGAGAATGTGAGACAGGCGTCTACTCTGGCATCTTTTAAATCTAGGCTCAAAACAATTCTGTTTAGCTGCGCATATACAACTGAATGATTTTATCTTTTCATCTTTGTTTTTATCTTTAATCTTTTTAATGCACTGTGACTATTTATGATTTTAGTCCCATCTGTGATTTTAATGTTTAAAGGTTTTTAATTTTTGTGATTTTATTTTTAATGTTTTTAATATATCTTGTGCTCTTAATGTGTTTGATTTATGCATGATGTGATAGGGGATGTGAAGCGCTTTGCGTTGCCTTGTGTAGGAAAGGCGCTCTACAAATAAACGTTGATTGATTGATTGATATATGTAATGATGTGATTTACTGAACAGTGGTCATTGAGTGTGTTGTCGTCAGAGTGCGTTGTGTGTTGTCGTCACAATGTTATGTCCAGCTGGAGAAGGACAAACACAGAGGACTCAAACCCAGCAGAGGGCACTTACTTTGAGCGTCGGCGAGGTGCAGGAGCAAGCCCAGCAGCGGTGGCAGCAGCAGAGTGGCTGTGTGCATGGTGGGACAGCTTGGCACCAGCATGCTTTGGCAGCCTCTGTGGCACTGGCTCACAGAGCCCTGTGAGTCAGTCTGGTCTGATTTCTCAGATGCAGGGTATTCACAGCCTAGGTAAGACAAGAAGGGATGGGAGAAGGGGAAGAGGAGAGGAAAAAAGAGAGGTGAGTGAAACAAAGCTGTTTGACTGCACAGGATTTATCTATGCCTGCACATTTGTGACATACCCCCACACAGACACAGCTGCAGCTGACAGAGGAGATGATGTGTTCACAGGCTATGTTCTGACGCTACTCTAAATGACACTAAGTGTGCACACACCAGGCAGAGGAGCCCACATGAAAGGGTGAACTAATACGATTTCGTTTTCACAGCTTCCGTCACCAATTAGAGGCCTCCATAATGAGATACGATTAGCGCCTCTCTCAGATCAATGTTGCTATCTTCTTTACATTAAGACAGCTATCTGTGGTTAAGAAAAGTCAGCAGTTCCTGCTGTGCACTGTTTAAATAAGGCCCACAGTGGACCTAAAATCCCCATAGAGTGCACATTGTGCAATGTCTCTTTAGCCAGTTCAACTGTAGTCCAGCACTGTTGCCTCTTCAGCAGCGCTTTTGTAAAGGATAGAGCTCTACTTCAACATCACATGTAATCTGAAGTCAGTGTTGGCCAAGTGTTGTCATTCATGCACTTTTAAGAGCGGCCATCTCCACCGCTGTGGAAATCAATGTGCTACAGTGCGCTTGTAGAAGCTGTAGACTAGCTTGATCCCTTGTCATCCATTTGCTTAAGCCAGAACTTGATCCTTAGTGATGGGCGCTCTGCGGTAGTCTTCCCAGCTAATCCAAGTGCGTGAGCTATCATGACACAATGTACAGTGCTGCTGGTTATCAGTGCATTCAGCAGTATTCAACCCCTTCACTATTTCTACATGTTGTAGTGTTACAGCCTAGGATCTAGGAAGAATAGTGTCAGCTTGACTGTGCTCATATGGATCCACAGTCAAACAAACAAACTACTTGAAGTATTCAAAGCAGTTGCTCTGGCACTGAGCACAGATGCCATCCTGATGACTGAAGCATCCCTGTGGTAAATTCTACTGATTTAACTTGATTTGGAAAGGGACAAACTTAAGATCCTTAGGGTCTACTTAAGATTCCACAGCTAACACTGATTGTCAGAGAAAAAACCGAGTCATGAGGCCTAAGGAACAGGGAACCAGACTCCCTGCCTGAGCAGAGGGAGGGAGTCTAGTCTGGATACAGGGAAAGATGAATTCGGAAACATGCAGAGATACTGTATACTGGGGAAAACCCTGCTCCAGAGTACTCAGATAACCTGAACCAACGATCCTATCGGGACAACAACCTGACGCACACAGACAAGATGACTAATGAGTGGCTTTGGGACAAGTCTGGGAATGTCCTGTGGCACCGCGAGAGTCCGGATTTTAACATCTTCTGAAAGACCTGAATGATGTTTTGGTGCAACACACTCCAACTAACCTGAGAGAACTGGAGAGGATCTACTGAGAATAGTGGTAAAAATATCAAACAAATTATAAATATCGATATTCCAAGCTTGTAGAAACCTACCAATAGAGGGTATGAATACTTGTTTTCAATCATATGGCAAAGAATGGCAAAAAATCATGTCATTTGTAGTTATGGGGTACTGAGAGAAACCTTGAGCGTTATACATTTTTCACTGAGGCTTTAACATGAATGTGGGCTGCATAATTTCTGAATGCATTTGAGCATGGGCCCTGTTCCTGTTGTTTCAGCTGAGGTGACTGCTGGAGACAGAACAGTTCATGCTCTGTGTAGCATGACAGTCCAGTGATTTACAACATGAGATAAACCACAGCTGATCAAAGTTTTGACCTAGAAGAGGCTGTGTTTTGCCTGAGATAATGTTTCAGGCGACAGTTTATCCGAAGATCTGACCGCCATCCACAAATGGAAACCAGAAACAAGCCCCTAAGACTAATCAGTAGGCCCGATGATGACAAAGTACCTCATTTCCCTGTTACCAATCATCCTGGTTCCTGCTCCTGGCTCTCCCACTTTCATTTATGTGAGGTGTAAACGGCAGAAAAGACCAGGAGATAGCGCACCTGTCACACTCGATTTGTGTTGGAGGTAGATAGACACGACTACCTGTCTGAAAGCGCTGCAGGCCTATAGCAGCAAGCGCAAAAGCGGGGGACGTGTGGCGAAGGGAATCAATTTGAGGCAATCTCATCCTCCGCTCCTCCTCGGTCGCATCAGTAGCACCACCGACGGCAGCGACGACACAAAAGCGCACACGCAAAAAACACAAATACATATGAGCCCACACAGCAGAGCTCCGCATGAGTAGGGTTGATGGGAATTAGATTAAAATCAGGTGCAGGATGCCTGAGGGGGGACATGAAGCAGACAAGTCCAGAGAGAAATCCCATGGAGAGCTTTAGTGTGCGTCCTTGTCTCATTTCTCCGGCACATCTGCACTGGCAAATCTAAGTGATAGCCTTTGAGTTAATTAATGAAGTGTGAATTTCCATAATGACACAACATTAGGCTGAAACACTAGTCAGCACCCCTCCCCCCGTTGGACCACACACACACACACACACACTGCCATCAGCACACACACCGGCGGAGGCAAACAAAACCATCTGTACATTGTGTAACCACCAGCCAGGCCACCGAGAGGCAGTGCCATGTGCGCAAATACAAACTGATGAATGCAAAAACACAACGACACGCAAAATCACGGTTTGTAGTGAAAATTGAATTATTCTGGCTGATGATTTGTTGGGATAATATTTACAAGTTCTAATGAGCAAAGGGATGAGGGGCCACCTGGCAGCAATAACATGTCAATTTGTGCGCTTGCAGAATGTCCGCATGTATAAGGGAATTTGAAAGTATGGTCATAAAGAGGACATGCCTGCTTTATAGCTTCAACAATATTTATGTAATAATACTGTTTTCTCTACCCTTTTAATGCAGATTTGGTTGCAATTATATACTGTATAAGAAATGTACTAACTGTGTGCTGACATCACCACTATTGTATGCCTTATTGTGGAAGAAGCTGATAAGAGCTAACTCGGAACAGATTCTATGAGTGGATATCTGGAGCCAAATTCAGGGAGGGCAACGATCTAGCAACCAAAGAGCCAATCAGAAGCGTTGCTGATCTGTTCTCGCTCACACTACTTGCTGACGTTGGGAATAGAAAGGCACCCGATTGGTCAGTTGGTGCAAACGGGATGTATCTGTATTTACGAAGACATTATCAAAGTATAAGCACAAGGATCGTACTAAGCAGTGAGCAGCAGATTTTTAAACCCAAAATGGAAATTGTGACAAAAATGGATACAGATTAAGTAATTTGGCAATTTATGTAAATGGATACAGATGAAGTAACTTGGCAATTTATATAAATGGATACAGATGAAGCAATTTATGTGAATGGGAGTCAAAGTGAGTACCTTATTATTGCGATGCACAAGAAAGTATAGTAAATACAAGGGGAGTGACAAGGTGGCTGTGGTACATATGAGTATACATGGAACCAGCCTAGAGACAACAAGGTAAAGCCATTTCTGAAGCCACAGTTCAGACCTACAGGGATTGACATGTGACAGTGGCAATCGCAAGACTGCAATTATTCAATAACAATGTGGCAAAAAGTTTTGTCTAGCGTATATGGGTACAGAGCAAACGTATTTATTGCTAGTTGTTCACATTCCTTGGGTTGTTTGTCCATGCTGAACAATACAATACAAACATAAATTGGCAAGTTGTAATACTAATATTTCACAGAAAATCACCAACAGATATCAACAGAAGCAGATATTGACCAAAGTTATCTCATAAGACATGAAGAAGACCCAGATTTTGAGGTCTAAACTAATCAAAAACAAATAGTACAGAAAAAATGTGAATGAGTTGGGATGGAGTTAAAAAATTTAATTCTTGCAATTAAACACGGGCCATCATGGAGATTATTTCTGCACAGTTTAAGTAAGGCCGACAAAAAGCAATTGGTTTAGCATTCATTTCATTGTTGTTGCACATAACTATGATTAAATGATTCATTACATTTATTTGATTTGGTTTTCATTCTTGCAGAAAAAACAAGCCTTTTCAACGCTGCCTGTATAATTTTCTGCGTGGCTTTCCTGCTTTGTATCAACTTATACACATTTGGTAACAGTGTCGTTCATTAATATTTTTTCCTTTTTTTTTTATAAATCTAGTCCGTGCTTCCTGAGCCCCTGGTGGTATTATTGTGTTCCCATTCAGAAGTGCTCCATTCAAAGGATTTTGCTTCTGATAGCAATCATGCATTATTAAACAAAGCCTGACAACATGCACAATGTTAATTAGAAAAGGGGGGAGTGTGTGGCAAGTGAAAGAAAGGAGCTGTTGAGCTGTCTACTCGCTCCTCTTCCCCGAGATCCTTATCGCAAATGTGAGGGAGACTGAGGGAGGGGTTGTTTATATGCTCCGTAATGGCTGGGCCCTCTTCTCATTCCAGCCTGTGTTTGGTATTCTGCTCCATTTAGACGGCCCATATTATTAAAGGGAAAAGAAGCAGTCATATTTATCCTATATTCCAAGCGCACGGCTATAAACGTGTTGTGGGAACCCATGCAAGTGGAATACTTATGAGCGAGCCAAATCAGCAGGTTCGTAGAAGATTAGTCTGCATATTATTAGGACCAGCCAAAAGCCAGTGGTATCGTGTTCAACAATTTCAACATGAGGTTGGATTGTACCACATTCTGCTCATCCTTCGTGCGAGACGACTGATTTGACTTTGGTTCGCTCCAGGGGAATCAGTAAACGGGCTGTTTTTAATCTCACTTGAACTTCAAGGAAATAGCCGAATTATGCTATGTTATCCTAACGGACCATAGCGACCGCAAAAATGCCACCGAATCTATTAAGGCCAATAGCTGTGTAATTAGACTAACACATACAAGGACAAAAGGAAATGTAAAGCTAATGTCAGCAATAGTGCTTTGTTATATAAAAGAGTTGCCCAGTGGAATGCCCAGCCAGGCACAGCAAATACGACTTTGTTTTGCTTCATGATACAAGACTTCCATTTCGCCCAGGGACCTCTGTAAAAAGGATGTCGTAATTATCCTCCACATACAAAATGTACTGATCCGGATGGTAGCAGCAGTAAACATAAGCAGAACACGCCGGGTCACTGCCCTCATCTTTATAGAAGCATCCAATATACAGGGTATTTAAATGACCAAGCTTGTGTTTCAGCATTCTTTGAGAGCAACTATATTAGCTCTGTATGTAAAACCCCAACAAAGTGCAAAAGGCCACGGCAGTAACAGTTGCTATGGACAATATGTTTTACCATATTTCAAGACTTTTTATAAGTGCTGGGAACAGTTATACAGGGGTCAAGATGCATGATTAACACCAGGGGCAGGGGATCACTTTCTCAAGGATGATTATACAAAATAATCCAGTCCTCCAGTGTCAGGCACCCACTCATTACAGCCCTGGGGTTTTTGAGAACATCATATGACCATGTTTTAAAATAATCTCATCAAAGGCTTCCCACCCCCATCCATCTACGCCCACCCTGTTCCTTTTGAAAGCTCTATTTCCGCACCAAGAGGGGTTAAGTTTGGGTTAAAGCAGTACAACGTGGAAATCTGCTACTTTGCAAGGCATCTCTTTTTAACTAAGCCAGTCATTTGCTCTTTCTGTATTTCTGGTTGTTTTTTGTTGTTTTTTTTTGACACTACTTTCCGTCTCAAGCTTGTGATAGTGTGATTTAAGGGCCAGTGACAAGGCCGTTTCTCTCACATCGCTCCCGATCAGCCGGCATGTGTAATAACATCCCTCAAGCTAAGCTAAGCTATGCCCCCAAGTACAGCCTCCACATGAAAGAGCCTGACAAGCACACATCAGAGCAGTTTATTTACTAAACTTCTTTATTTACTTTCTCCATCTTCTTGCCTCGCCTCCTCTGACCTCCCTCAAACAAGTCTCTCATGCTCGTAAACCATGCTTTTGGGCTGCGCCGTCTGACTTTCAATCTGGGGAAGTTTATGGCGTAGTCGAGCCATCAAGCCTCGCTGATTTTTTGTCTGGTGAAAGTTGTCGATGGCTTCGGGTAGAGAGAGAATCCACCAAAATGTACAGCCCCAGCGGGAACCTAATTAACTCAGATCTCTTTTGCCTGTCGAATAATTGGTTTATAGCGCCCACTGTGATTATGGAACAAGAAATGATCCAACTCTTGTGTGAATGGAGAGGCAGATAGTGTCTCACTTGGGGTGGGCAGTATTGACACAAACTATTATTCATATTTTGTAATCTGTAAGAAACTTGGCAACCTATGATATCTTGGTTCTCTATCCTACGCGCAAATGAATCTGTGTTTATAGATTCAGTAAAACACTAGTGTACAGTAGGATTGGCACTTTTCCTGATTTTATTTTCCACCTTTAAACCATTTAGTGTTTGGTTATGACCTTAAACAATTCAGCATTGATCTAAAACGGCATAATACAAATAATCTAGTCCATTCACTTGACTCAAAATGACTGTTGGTATCTCCCTGCCCCTTTACAGTTTGTTAACATAAAGGTCATCCCAACAAAGACACCAGAATGTGCACTCTAAATGTCCGCAAATTGTAATGGGGTCTTCCTACTATCACACCCCATCTCCACATTGAAAATCGGCTCAATGCATCCAGTAGTTTTTGAGCAATTCTGCCCATAGTCCGACAGACAGAGACACACTAAGGTGATCACATTGCAAACATACAAATAAGATGGGCTTGTATCCATAGCAGCAAAAACTGAGATTCTCAATGCATGGCCGCAGGAGAATTGAGATGAATCGAACAATCAAGAATCTCTCTAAAAACAACTTGAATGCTATTTTAAAATGTGTTCACAATATCCCCTTATTCCAGTATCAATGCTATACTAATACACAACACACAAGCACACACTCGCCCTCATAAATACATACAGTACCGCGATCTGGATTTGTTTTGTAGTGACGTACAACCATTTTCTAGATGACAAAGGGTCAAGGTGAGAATGTTAGCAATTTGAAAACTATTACCCTTTGTAGAGAGCAAAGAGCGAGGTTGAGTCCTTCTGGGTGCGGAACCTGTCTAAACTCACCTTGAGCGTAGCCTCCGACTACTTATTCAGCTTGTGCTTCTGTTGTCGGCACCTCTCCTTGACTTTCCCTCTACCTGGCCACTTACTTTCTTTCTTTCTTCCTCTGCTTGCGGCGCCATCGCTCTAGTCTACTTCTACTGGCCACATTTCCCAGCAG